GGTTTAGGGTCAAGGGGTTCAGAGTTTAGGGGTTTAGAGTTTGAGGGTTTTGGGGTTAGGGTTTAGGCTTGAGGCTTTCGGGTTTAGGCTTTAGGGTTTAGGCTTTAGGGTTTAGGCTTTATGGTTTTAGGCTTTAGGGTTTAGGGTTTAGGGTTATTGTTTAGCGGAACGCGACAGCCAAGGTGGAAACGGGAGTTTTGGATGGGGGGGCATATTATACTTGAATTCTGTGCCGGGAAAATGAAGGGGGTATCGCTTCTGACCAAGAATTACCTGTATATGTAGGCTTAGAAATATGTATACACGCATACATACCCTCATACAGTGTGTGTGTGTGTACATATATGTATATACAGAAATTACAACCTGTCCTAAAAACCTACACTCTTGCACGCCAGCCTCCCCCCAGCGAGCTGCCTTGGACTGCGCTGAAATGGCAGAGCTGAAAATGAACCTGGGGGCCCACGGAGTCTAAAGCCCCGCAGCCCGTTGGGGTTCAGGGATCAGGGGTTTCTTGAATTTTTAAGCGGGTTTCATTCGACAAAAACCGGACAGGATGAATCATCAAAAGGTGACTGAAGCCCTAAAACTACGTGCGATACCTACTCGGGGGTCCAAAAATCTGAACTGCAGGCAAGCACAAAACTGCACTTATTTTCGGTCGTTTGTAGTCGGGCATGGATGAACTCTTAAAGCCGTATCCTCAGAAACCAAGCATGAAGCCTGCAGACTCTGTTGAAATTGAAGCACCAACATACTTTGGCACCTGAAATATGCAGGCAAGTCTTTTCAACATTCAGGAAGAACTGCCAGCTATAGTCCCCAAACCCTGTCTCACAGGGAACAACGAATACCAACGTGGCAAGATCAATCGAGTGGCGCATTTCTCCGTACTTGTGCCTGTCGCATCATCTGCAGCAGGCTGCTGATGTATTGCCAATCTCCTGCACAAAATGGGAGTTTCGGGGTCCTTATAATAAGGATCCTATTATTTAGGGTACTATATTAGGGTCCCCTATTTTCGGAAACCCCCAAGTGCTTCACGCCCTAAGTAAAGCCAAACTGTGGTTGTGGTTCTTTCTCAAAAGAGTGCGCTGTCCAAGGAATTCTTGAAACATGTTAAGCAGAAGTTTCAAGTACGTCCACGGTATGTGCCTTAGGAGGGCGCTGTCCGAAATCCAGAAAACACTTCTGCGGCTGCAGGTTTCGAATTTCGGGTTTTGGTGGCTCAGGGTTTACGGTTCAAGGTTTCCGGATCAGGCTTTTGGGCTTGATTGGGGGTTTAGGGTCTGGGACTTGTAAGTTTGGGTCTTAGCTAAGCCTTAGAATGTAATACCCTTCACGTAACCAAAGTATGCGTGCTAGACTTCAGCGTCGAAGAAGAGGCTTAGGACCCACAGCAGGAAGAGGACATTGCATGTGAATCTGTTCCTGTAGATAGGTTCGGGTACATACTAGTGGTTCTACTGTCAGTATAAAGACCCCTCATCAGAAACAAATATTGCGAAGCAACTCAATCACTCCTACCGGCACCTTCCCTGGAAGACGACACGGCAGCTGTCAAGGATGTCGCACGGTGCCAGGGTCCTCCGGCACATGTTGGGGCGCTTTTGGTTTCGATCGCCCTGACAAGCCTGAACCCTAAACCCTAAACCCTATAAACCCTATATAAGCCCTATAAACCCTATAAACCCTATACACCCTAAACCCTAAACCCTAAACCCCAAACCCTACCCTGCTGGGCACCAAACGGGGTGGGGGGGTGGTCGGGCAGAAGCTGGAATTGCATGCACCGCTTCGGGTTGGGGCTGTCAGGAGAACTGCGATCTGAATCAAAACAAGACGATTATGTCCAACTAAGCCTATGTGCAAGAAGTCTGACAATTGCTACATAACCCCTAAACCGTTTTTTCAGGCTGGTTAGGCATTGCCAGTGCGGGATGCATGCTCAAAGTCAGGGCAAATGGCCTGGGAAGCGGGACGGCTCCCATCGGAGTCGCACCAACCCCGATAACCCTCAACCCTTAACCCTAAACTCCATAAACCCTAAACCCTAAACCCAAACCCTAGAGGCCTCACTTCGGCGAAGATGTCTTCCCCCCGGACTTCGCACCGGGGGCGGTTCATGCATGTGAGAAGTGTAAGAAGCAGGGCTACAATGTTAGGGTTTAGGGTTTAGGGTTTAGGCCAGTGCTCGCAAACGCATTCCGGCCTTCGAACCAATAACAGATGCAACAGCCGACAGTCCAGTGTTCTAGCAGCGCAGGAAGAGGTGACAGGCACCAACGACAGACGCTCAAAAGCGTCTGTCCTCTTGGCTGTTGCCAGGAACTGACGGTTTAGGGTTTAGGGCTTAGGGTTTAGGGTTTAGGGTAACTGCACCCTAACTACTGAGTAACCAGAGCACACTACACATAAAACTGCGAGCCTGAGTTTCTACCCCCTGGCTACTGACGTCGGTTGGCCAAACAAAAGAACAACTGAACCATTGAAGCTTTTCAGGGACTGCGTAGGTTTCCAAAAACATGAGACGTGCCCCAAACAATCATGCGTTGCTCATGGTACCTTGCCTCCGTACTTGTCCAAAAGACCACAGAGGAACCAAGGGCTAGCCTTCGGGATATCATGGGGAATAAAAAGTTTACCATACCCCGATTGACAGTTGCGGACTCTACTACTGAGCCTCCGGGCAAACCAAGGCTCTAATTAAGCCCTACACCACCCCAAACTCCAAATTCTGAACTCTAAACCCTTAACCCTATACGCCCTAAACCCTAAACTCTATTAAACAAAAGGAAGCCCTCAACTCTAAACCCCAAACTCTAAATCCTGAACCCTAAACTCTAAATCCCGAACCCCTAAACCCTAAACTCTAAATAACAAGGAAACCCTAAGCCAAAGGGGGGATCGGCCTGCAGCTTCCGCAATGCCGTGCGCCACTGCGGTGGTCCTGCCGCACATAAGCCATGGTTGAAACGAACGTCCGTAGGGGTTTAGGGTTGAGGGTTTAGGGGTTTAGGGGTTTTGGGGTTTAGGGGTTTAGGGGTTTAGGGTTTGGGAACGTCCGTAGCCTCTATAAGGGATCTATAAAGGGGTTTAGGGGATCCAGCGTTTAAGGGTTTATATAGGGGGTTTAGTGGTTTAGGGGTTTGAGGGTCTACTTAGAGGCCCAGGGGACATAGTAAGTCGGTTGAAAGTAGGGTTATAAGTGGGGGTAACTCCATTTAGGGTACTTATAACTCTACTTCTAACCTACTTACTAAGTCTCCTGGGCCTCCAAGTAAGGGTCCATGAACCTTTCATTTCAGGGGGTCCTATGAAAGATAAGGGTGTGTATCCACATAGTAGATACTTTGGCCTTGAAGTACCTATGTAGGCACTACTTTACAGTAAGCCAAAGAATTATGGGCACGTGGACCCGTAAGGTTACTGGAGCTTGCAGTTTCAAGCAGGATCAGAAGGATGTTGTCTAGCTTGTGAGGAGATAGAGCCCTGCTTATACTCACGACCCTCCGAGCGGCGAAGTAATGAGCAGAGCTTGCGACTTAAACTAACATCAGCACGGCCAGGGCGACGTTCGGTACCTTGTGCCTGGAAGAGCTAGCGCACAAGTACCTGTGTATGAGTACAGGTTCTACATCGGTCTTTTGTGCGTCATTGTTTACTTAGAGGCCCAGGGGACTTAGTAAGTCGGTTAGAAGTAGGGTTATGATTGGGGTAACTGCATTTAGGGTACTTATAACTCTACTTATAACCTAGTTACTAAGTCCCCTGGGCCTCCAAGTAGGACTATTCAAGGGGTGGTCGGGACTAAAGTTTCCAGATACACACTTTGTGGGCTCTCCTGAAGCTACTTGACTGTATCTTGCTGAGGTCTGGAAGCCCAGCCCTATAGGCCCGAGACGAGGCGAAATAATGCTCCAAAATCCCCCACCCTAGAACCCCACACCCTAGAACCCTATACCCTAGAACCCTAAACCCTAGAACCCTAAACCCTAGAACCCTAAACGCTAGAACCTCTGAACCCTAAACCCTATAGTGCCTAAGTCGTCTTCTGCTTCGGATGCTTGATTTCAGTGCTTCCGGTCATGTCGAGCTTAATTAGGGAATCCAGGATTCGATGTATAATGTAGGGGCCGTAATAGTTCTCTAATTACAATAAGAAGCCCCCCAAAACAGTCGATTGTTGAGGCCCCTATATCATATTATTACTATATGGGCAGTTCTGAAATCCTAAAACTAAACCCTAAACCCTAAACCCTAAACCCTAAACCCTAAACCCTAAACCCTTTGTTATATGGTTTGCTGTCATCTGAGCCTTGAAGCCTCCTCGCACTGCTCTTCACATGGGTAGTTCTGTAAACTATAGGCTTCCTTTTAAGGTCCTGCCTACTTGGAGGCCCAGGGGACTTAGTAAGTAGGTTATAAGTAGACTTATAAGTACCCTAAGTGGAGTTACCCTAATTATAACTATACTTATAACCGGCTTACTAAGTCCCCTGGGCCTCTAAGTATAGATAAGGGTGCCGTACTCTTTTGGGAACATAATTTAGAGAGCTACACATCATATGTCTTGCTGATATCTAACAGCCTAGCATACCCATCTGCAAGGTCGGCGATCATATATGCTGCAACACAGCCCTAAACCTGAAACTACCCGTAACCCTCAACCCTAAACCCTGAACTGACATCTTGGGGCACTGGTGGCTCTAAGACTTCTACGGCTTCCCGGGTCTAGTGCTTNNAAACCCTAAACCCTAGACCACCCTAACCCTAAACCCTGCATTCGGGTTTCAGGGTTCTGGGGGCTCCGTATCCGCTGCTGCGGAAGCAGCGACAGGAAGGCCAGTGCTAAGCGCCAGCACCTGGCGACGACGGAGGGACTGGAACAAACAAACAAACATACAGGGTTTAGGGTTTAGGG